CCGACGCGTTAGCCGTTAGCCACCAAAATTCCTACTAGGGTGCAGTAGCTCCTATTTGGTCGTAGAGCGAACCGCGCCGGTGGCGGGCGCACAATTCTGCTTGGCCCTAGGAACCGCCCGGTAAGCGTCGGAAGACGTGTCCCCGCCGCTGCTGTGCCGGTCCCCGACGACCCTTTCTGGAGCCACGAACTTGGACGGCCACCTCCAGCGCCTCGACCGGGCGCCACAGAGTTCCGAATCTTCCCGGATCGCCAGCCTATGCCGCCGCTGCCAACGCCGCAAGTGCCGGCATCAAGAATCATTTGACCAAATGATCGCTACGCCCGATCGGCCGGGCTAGGCAGGCTTCGCCTGTCCGCAAGTTGGGGCGCCTTCGCTCTTCGCAACATACGGCAAGGCAGCTTTGCTGGGCGGCCGAGCTCGCCCAAGAAGCCTGCATGCGCAGGGTGACCATGTGCTGCCCCACACCATTGGGGTCCCATACCATTGGGGTGTTCGGATGTCGACGCGTCCCCACCTCGCCGGCATGGACGTTCTTCGACAGCCGCCGCTGGGCAACCTGTCTTTCGCCATCTGCCAAGTCTACGAGAACGCGACTTTAAACATCGCCGGGGCGAGGATTGGCGCAGGTCGGGACACTAAGCAACGATGAAGGCGTTTGATGTGCCCACCCGCCATTTCCTCGTCGAATCCTTCGTCGAGTGCGCACGACTTGCAGAACGCCTACCGCCAGTGTGGTGAAGTACCCAAGCCATTGCGGCACATTGTTGCCGTCCGAGGAGGGGACCATATGGGCCATGCTGTGGCTCCATTTCGCCATGTGCTTCGGCGCAGCGGCCGCACCATCTGGAACTTTAACCGGGGGTTCTCCGAGCGATCGAGTTCTGCGCCGCTCCGCATCCCAACATCGGCGAACTTGAAGGGATCGATGTGGGGTGCCGGTCCAAGCAAAGGCGAAAAGGTAGCTGCCGGTTGATGACCAGCCGCATCGCCCGACGTGGACGGTGCAGCGCTCTCCCCAACATCCATCACGGGCGTCTCCTCTGGCGAAGATGCCGCAGGTCCCGGCGGTGAAGTAATGGGGGCGCCCACCAGGTCGAGCCCCGCGGCGGCGACGAACTCGGCACGAGAGGAGACGGACGAAGGCGAGCCAAATCAAAAAGGCGACCGAGCCGGCAGACGGCTACGGCGATCGCAGCTGCTTGTTCCTACTCGCATGAATGCGCTACATTCAAGCAGAACTGATAGCAGCAGTATGAGTAAAAGCAGTCAAATGTGATAATCGCAATTATAATACTAGCAGCAGGAGTAGTAGTAGCAGTATAGTGGTCGTCGTCGCCGTCGTCGTGGTAGTAGCAATAGCAATACGGGTTCCAGTAGCCGTAGCAGTAGTAGGTGCAGCAGCAGCAGCGCAGCAACAGTAGCAGTGGCACTGGCAGCGGCAGCAGCGGCAGCAGCGGCAGCAGCGGCAGCAGCGGCAGCAGCGGCAGCAGCGGCAGCAGCGGCAGCAGCGGCAGCAGCGGCAGCAGCGGCAGCAGCGGCAGCAGCAGCGGCAGCAGCGGCAGCAGCGGCAGCAGCGGCGGCGGAGGTGGTGGTGATGGTGGCGGTGCTGGTGATCGCAGTGGTGGTGGTAGTGATAGCTGCAGGAGTGTAGGAGCGCGAATAGTCGCAGTCGTCGTTGTCGTAGCCGTCGTCGTCCTGGCAGTAGCAGCAGCACCAGTAGCAGTAGCAGTAGCAGTAGCAGTAGCAGTAGCAGTAGCAGTAGCAGTAGCAGTAGCAGTAGCAGTAGCAGTAGCAGTAGCAGTAGCAGTAGCAGTAGCAGCAGTAGCAGTAGCAGTAGCAGTAGCAGTAGCAGTAGCAGTAGCAGTAGCAGTAGCAGTAGCAGTAGCAGTAGCAGTAGCAGCAGCAGCAGCAGCAGCAGCAGCAGCAGCAGCAGCAGCAGCAGCAACAGTAGCAATAGCAATAGCAATAGCAGTAGCAGTAGCAGCAGCAGCAACAGTAGCAATAGCAGTAGCAGTAGCAGTCGCAGTCGGAGTGAGAGCGGAAGCGGCAGGGCTAGTGGCAGTGGTCGTAGTAGCAGAAGTAGGAGGCAGTTAGTAGTAGTTACTAGTGGTAGTTAGTCTAGTAGTTAGTGGTGGTTACTAGTATTTAGTAGTAGGTAGTAGTATTGAGTAGCATGTAGTCGTAGTCGTAGTAGTAGTAGTCGTCGTAGTAGTAGTATTTGTAGCAGGAGTAGTCGTAGGCGTAGTCGTAGTCGTAGTCGTAGTAGTAGTAGTAGTAGTAGTAGTAGTAGTAGTAGCAGTAGTGGCAGCAGTAGCAGTAGCAGTAGCAGTAGCAGTAGCAATAGTAGCTAGTAGTTAGGCAGTAGTGGTAGGTAGTAGTACGTAGTAGTCCGTATTAGTAGGTGGTAGAAGGTAGTGGTAGGTAGTAGCAGATAGTAGCAGATAGTAGCAGACAGTATTAAGTAGAGTTAACTAGGATTAGTAGTAGGTAGCACCGGTAGTGAGCGGGCCTCAGAAATCGTAGTCGCAAGAACCAGCGGTTCTGAAGATACGGACTGGAGGGACTCGACGGAGTTGAGGGGACTTGGATAAGTTATGTAAGGAACGAGGGGATCCAGGGATTGATGCGCCGAGCAGTTCTGGTAGAAACCAGGAATCAATAGACTGTTGTGTAGAACATTGTAGAAATATGTGTTGAGAAATTCTGAAACCAGGATCTAAGGTTTGACTGTTTGCATTGTTCTGGAAGAGCCTGGCAACCAGCCCTAAGAGCCCGTCACAAAGGCATGATTTGGAACCACATCCGTGAGGTATCCGTTCGCTGATCTGACAGGGAACAATCTGCCAATTAATTCTGCTAAGCATCCGGAAGTGAGAGCATGACTCGCCCGACAATCTCATGGTAACTAGCGGCACTGAGAGTCAAAGCGGCTGCGAAGCACTTTTTCTGCAAGGGTTGGTCACGAGATATGCGGCGACATGTTTCCTTTGCAGCACGACTATTGCAGGTGTCGGTTTTATGTTGCTGCACGCTCCACAGTTCGTCCTCACGGAGGATGGATTCGATGAGGTTGATGGAGCAGGTGGGTGAGAAGCCTCCCACCATGGTAATTAATTTCCATGGAGGCTACACTACATAGCCACTCACTCACGGATGCAAACAGGTATCTGGGAGCCCCGCAATGATGCGCACAGAGCTCCTTCTCGGACATGATTCGACTGTTGAGGACATCCTGCAAGAGCTTTCACTGGACGATTTGCTGCCACCGTGGGTAAACAAGAACATGTGAGCTTGGTCACGCAGCCACGCAGGCCCGATTAAGAACGCCAACTCGCACAACAGTTGAAACCCTCATAATTCGTTGAATCGCGTGGATGCCACCGGCAGCCCGAGTAGCGGGGGCAAGTCGTATGCTTCGAGCGCGAAATCGTAAGCTACCCAACAGGTCTCTTCTGCTAACCTGAAGGGCAGCCTCTACGGCCGCAGCTGCAGCGGCCAGTGTAGCGATGCAAGAATTACCGCAGCTTACAGTAGTAGTAGCTCTGTTAGATAGGAGCCAGGAAAGGGAACAGCAGCACGCGTGCGAAGAGGCACCGTGCTCAGAAAGAACGAGACAAGACAGACGTTTTCCTGCCAACCGGATGGATCAAGGCTGGGTTACAGTGTTGCACCCATCAACGTTTCCATTCGTTGACGACGACAACACGGGGTCTTGATCTTATTGAAGGTTCCAGGTCCCCCAATCCGGCGCGCACAAGCAAAAAGAAGTCTCGAGAGTGTTTGGTCAGGTAAACAACAGCCAAGCCAGCATGCAACTTGCAGTTCTTGTGCATGGCCTGGGAGGCATTTGACATGGCCAGTACAATACGGCCTCAAGGCAGCAGAATGCACGTCAGTCCAACATAGGCAACTCGGAATTCACTGATGCAGCTCGAGAGCGCGAGCCCCAGCCACCCTCATCCGTGCGACGTTCAAAGACCTCAACTGCTGCACGGAACATTTATTCATCATGCTGTGTACCATTCAAGCTGTGGCTCGTTGATGTCCGGCGCTCCAGGAAGGCGTTTGATGCGAAAGCCAGAAGCAGTGAAAAAAAGACGTGCGTGTGCACGTGCCAGCAGCACGGCTACCCAAAGACCAACAGGCCCAGCACCTACGATTGCTACGCGGGCACGCGGCAAGGCATCCTCTCTGGGCGGCGAGGATTGTGGGGGTAGCAACGGCACCGGCACCGTCAGGCTCGGACTTTTCACGGGAGAGGCGCTGCCGTGTGTTGCCTGCGCTGCCGGCAGTCTGCGCAGCGGCTGCTGCTCCTTCTGCTCGCGTTGCGGACTGAGCGGCTCCCAGCCTTGAATACAAGCTTTCCCGCTCCCGATTTGCCAAATCGCCGACGTGCCACAGGAACCACGTTTTTGAGGCTGGCTCTTCCCAAAAGGTGACAAGACTTCTTCCTTAACTGCCAGCACCGAGCTTGGCTTTGTCAGTGTCGCTTCGCTCCACTGCCGCTTCATGGCCCAAACGCCAAGACGAGCCTGGAACTCGGATCCCGACCTCTTTGCTGCCCAAACGTTGCTGCCCTCGGCGACGATGACAGGAGTCTGGATTTCGTGCGTCTGCACTGACGGCTTGAGCTTCGCTGGGCAGGAACCAGACCTCGCGAGGGAAAAGGGCGGATGCAGCGGGCTGCGCGCATGGTGAGGACGAGACTGCAACGTCATGCCAGCCACCCAGTTCTATCACCACCTTGTTGAAGTCCCTGATAAGCCATGACCCGACTGTTCAGTGGCACCGCTTGCCCTCCATGAGTCCATGAGTATCAACTGGATGCGTGCCAGCGGCCGGTGGCACGCTGGAATGGCTACGATTCGGTGGGCCGAAACGTATTGCGGCAAAAGCAGATCATGAAAGCTCGCAGGATCGAGAGAGAAAGCCTGCGACTCCTACGACCGTCTGTGACCTGGCTCTGGCATGAATTTCCAGAAGCTTGGCCATCGCACTCCGATGCGATCGATGTGTCGAAGACATTGGCATGCCCATCCGGAACATCTCGTGATCTGGCAGATTGCAGCAACTGAAATCGCTCTGCCTGGGCTTTGTAGCAGCAATGCCTTGCTGAAGAGCGTACATGAAACCTGACACTATCCAGCTCAAAGCTTGCACTGTGCGCGAGCTTTCAAAATCAGACATGCAGCGCTGCCTGCAGGCTGCCGACGACTGCAGCGAGCTCGGCTCACGTGGAGATAGACCTGGCGAATGGAGAAATCAGATTTCTTCGATACGAGGTCAAAAGTGCCACTGGTGATTTCTCAGAGATCTGGTGACAGCTTCGTTGCGCACCGACAAAGCTGCTGCCACTGATGCCGAGGACACTTCGACCCAGCACTTCTGATCTCCCACGGAACAGAAACGGGTTTTTGTGGCACAACCGAAGCATCGGACAAAGCGAGCAAGGTCGGCGGCTGACACTTGCCTCCTCTTCTTCCAACTGCAGGTGCTCAAGAACAAAAAGCAAGCATCGCCCTCGTTATCCCTCACACTTTGGTCCATCTATCACTGCTGCACTCAACCTCCACATTGCCTGCTTCGATGCTCGCATCAACAAACAGGCAAAGCCTTGGGTGTATGAAGTCCAACCTGGAAGCTTGAAGACTCCACCGGCAGATAGGCACCACAAGGCTCCTGGTTCAGCCAGGGGCACATTGAGGAACATGAGACCGTTTCAGGCGCGACAAGCGGCTGCTTGGCGACGTAGATTCAAATGAGATGCAAAACCATCTTTTGACTCAGCGACGGATCAGCTGCGGGTTTGGGGCATCACAGAGGGCAGGTGTCAACCTCGCTGCGACGTCTATCTCTGCTGTAGGATCTCTGCGTAGCCGAACAAAAGATTACGCGGTTGTCACGCTGGTTATCAAAGCTGGCACCTACCCTGATGCTTCCCCATTGCTTCCCCACAGCCCCGCAGCTGGAATTGCAGTCGCCACTCCCCGCTGATTCACATTCAATGCTCTCCCCCGCATTGACAAGGGCCTCAAGTGCGTCCAGCATGTTTTCTGAACAAAGCAAACATTTGAAAGAACATAAGGCCAAGGCTACGTCGACCCCTGCGACTTTGCCTGGCACAATCCGAAGCTGCCTAGATGTTTCCATGCTGGGGTCAAATGGGCCCTTGGCCTTCCCGCTTTTGCCTTTCGTCTTTGCTTTTGCCTTGGCCTTCGCCTGGGACTTGACCTAAGTTCCACTGAGGGCACGTGAGAAAGCCTCTGCAGACTTCGAGCTGCTGACTTTGACGAGCGCATCTGCAGCATCCTCCTCGTCGCTGGCCTCGACCTCTCTCCACACTCTCACACCTGCGCCACACCTCCGCTCAACGTGGTCTCTTATGTTGCCCCTGCCTCGCGCTCTTCCATGTCATCACCTTCAAAATTCCGCATCTGCGAGACCATTGACTCTGCTGCATCAAACACTGCGCCTCCGGTGTCGTCAGCATGTCTTCTGCCTTGGACTGCCAGCTTGCTTCCAACCCACGCAAGTCGACATATTTCTGCGTGTTAAGTACGCTAAGTATCCTGCGTTTGGCGGTCGGCATGACCTGGCGAAGCATGTCCTATTCCTATTCCTCGAAGCCCTGTCACTTGCTGTGATGACGATGCATGCCTGCATGCAAAGGAACCCAGCATGGCTTGACAGAAATTGGCAGGGTACTTGTGCTGGACAGCTTGCCTTTCCAATTGGGAAAGCTGACATAGCTGTGAAAGCTGAGCGGATTCCTGAAGATTCGAGAACAAAAGCTCGACGGAACCTCGGGGCCTTCTGGCACCTCAGCTTTAAAGATACTTAAGACGGAACGCTGCGTCGCCCGAGCGAATTAAAGGGATGCCACAAGGCTACTTTCGAGCCAGCATACCCTCTAAACAACTTCTACTTCTACAGACTAAACACTTCTGCTGCTCATCGCTGCTAGCGTCCTTTGGCCTCGAAGAGACACAAGAGTCATGAGACACCCAATCGGATGACGACAGTCACACCGACATTCAAAGGCCTGGTTTTTCACGCCATTGATCTTGGAAGACACCCAGTCTGGATCTCCCAAGTAGACCCCACCTTGGAACAGCGGCTCTGTGAAAAACAAGCTTACTTTCATCCGAATTCTTCTGCTCCCACTCAACGCAGAGCGGCGAAGATACGCGAGGCGCTCGAATCTGGCTGTTGCGAGCTTCCCTGCGCTGCTTCTTTGCGCTTCGGCTGATGAGATCGAGTCGCAGGCCGCGACTGCAGGACATCCTATCACGGAATCCTGGAAATAAACACTTGCCGACACCCATTCCCCTCACAGCCGAGGCTGGCTCGGCCCCCCTATCGCCCTCCAGCCCATGAAGTTAGAGTGCTCCGGCATCGCGCGACACTTCAGATCCTTTGCAACTACTCGAAGTCTTGCAAGAGTTGTTCTCGAGAAGAAACCTGGTTTTGCTTCTCAAGATGCGTACCGTGCGTACCGGTAGACTCATGCCAGAAGAAGGTGACCCAAGTATCCCTCGGATCTCAGCATACCAGCGGCTCTTTGGGGACCCGACTCAGCCCTTCCGCATGCCCGGGCAGCTCGACCTCACAGAAGAGCAGGAGAACCGAAGAAGTGCCGCACCACTCGGAGAACTTGGTACCCGACCGGCTTCAACTGCCGGTTCAATCTATACACGAGCGGCACCTGAGCAGGCGGCCGCTCAGCAAAATTCACACGCAAGCAGCATGGCAGCATGTCACTTGAGGCCCAAAAAGATGGATTTGTTGGGAAAGCACCCCGGTCGGGATGTTCAGGCCGACAATCTTATCCTGCCCAGGAGCGTGCAGTGAATCTCGAAATCAGCACTGAACGCGTGCAAGTGTCCCAAGTGTCCTCTGGCACGTTATCCAGGTACTTGACAAGAGCTCGCAACGAGTTGCCGTGAGCAGCAATCAGCACCTCTGCGCACAGTGCTCTTCGTTATGCTTACGGCCAGACGAACACACGTCTGAGCCGCCGCCTTCTTGCCCTTGTGGAGCTGCGGTGCAATACTTTGCCTTCGCGGCTAGAGGCACAGCTGATGGTCGTCCGACGGCTGAGCTTAAGGCAGAAAGAAACCTACTTCAACTTCCTAGTGTGAGGCCGGCACCTCCAGAAAGGCAAAACTCTTTGGATCGTCAAGGCCAAAGACCTGCACCAGCACAGGGGGGAAGGCACACCTGCCAGTGCCCGGCTGCAAACAGGCTGGGCGTGCTCTGCTAGTGGCAGGTTCTTCTTGGGGATGTCCCTGTACTTGGGGTCCTGGAGTACGGCTGTCGCGGAACTGCCTCACTGAGAGCTCGCAGACTGAGTACGTCACCAGCTTCGGATGGTACGGGCTGTCATCCTCAGAGACAGCCGGGAGGGGCACACGGAGCTCCGCCCTTTGGCTCCGAGCCTTGATCGGAGGCGGCGGCTCTGAGAAAGAACGGCGCCACCGGGTCACCTGACAAGGCCGTTTGATGCAGAGATCAGAAGACCCAGATCCGAGATTTTCGTGCCGCTCAGGTGCTTCAACCCATGGTGACACGAACGTCTCACAACCGATACTATATATATATATATATACATTAAGCTGGTTTGTCAAAGAACGACTGCGAAAGGTTTCATCATCGGCAGGCTGGATGCCACACACATCGAGGCGACCAGCCCTTCGGCATTCCTCTCGAAGAGGTTGCTTTTATGTAGACATATTACTGTCGAGCTTTTTTGGTTGTGCCATCATCGTCTTTTGATTGCCTCGATCGAACTCGACATCAAACCAGGCTCCGTTTCTTTCGGTCGGTTAGTTGGGGTTCAGCATCTATCCGTCCTCTGGATTACACGTTTAGTCCTCTGCTTGAGGACATGTGTCAATGCATCCAAGCCCTACTGTATCTACCAAAGCAATAAAACACTGAGCAAGGACGGCCAGGCAGGACCGGAATCGCAAATGAAAGGAGAAACCCTTACAGGAACAAAAGAGAAAACGGTGCGAACAACAAACCCACCGCTGCCCCATCTGTTGAACACTCCCGCAAACTTTCACACTCACACAACAGCAGCAACTCAAGCCTGTTCCTCGCCAAACTTCTTGGCTGTTTCGGCCTTGTTCAGGCCCTGTAGATCACCGTACCTGAGGGGCAACTTCCGAATGCTATTCGTCCCTGCACCACGCTCGCCGGCAAAACGGCGCACATCCGCTCGTTCAGCTTCCAGGTCTTGACGACAGGAATCCACAAGCAGTCCATCTCCTCATGGCCGCAGCAAGCACTCGAAGAGCGGCTTTATCCTGTTGCAAAGGTCGTCCTCCAAGGCTAAGTTCAGCGTCTTGATCGCTCTTTTCTGGTACGATGTGAAGGCCACATCTACACCTTGAGCATGTGTGTTCTCTAAGCTTCACTTTGCGAAACCTCCTCAACTGAGGCAGGGGCTGACATTGGCCGCATGCAGCAGTTTGCCCGCGTTAGTGGCCTCCTCAGCACCCTTGGCGGACACGTCCACATCAACCCAGCCTGCCACGCCAGAGTCACATATAGTCCGTCCCACACGAACCATCTGACTCATCTGACAGTTGAATTGCAGCGGTGGCTTGAGGAAAGCAAAGCTGCATCAGCCTGTGAAGCGGTTCTGCAGGTTCCATTCAGACCTCGATGCCGAGCTCGCAGTCCCAGAAGCCTTTTGAAGGTCAGAAAACGACCGAGGCGCCAACTCGCCGTGCCGCAGCAGCACCAGAGTGTGCTCCCCATATGACTGACCAAACCACGTGCTATCGTCGCCGTCTTTCAGCTGCACACTCCAAGAGCTGGCCTCCAGCTCTGAAAGGTCCACATCAGTCAGAGAGGAGCCTCGAAGCTAAGCTCAGATAAAGATGCAAGTCGTGCTAGACCAGGCATCACATGGAAGCATGTAAGAACGCGTAAGCTTCGGGCAACAAAGCCCTACAAAAACAGTGACAGCAGCGGCCTCGGGAGGATCGAGGACAGCGCGTCCGATGCATGGCGATCGCCACGAAGTTCGACGCAAGGGAAGCTCAGCTTGATGCACCGAGTGTGCTTAAAAGGCTAACGCCTCGCCGGCGACGTTCCTCCAAGGACAACGACTGGTCATCTCAAGAACCAAGTACTTCACAAGGGCACTGCGGGAATCCACTGCACAGAGAACAGCTCCAAACAATCCAGGCACAGAATCTCAACAAGCACGAAATAGACTACAGTCGGCAGAGGCAGGCGTCCTTCGGCAACATGGGAACCTGGCCAGCCTTGGCACCTCAAAGCAGGTGCCCCACACTTTCCCCCGCGGCAAGCCTGGTATGCTCTGTATCCGGCCCAGGCACATGACATGGCCGGATACTCGACGGCGACTTTTTAGCCATTGAGCCACGACCACGTCCAGATGCTTCGTCACATCTCCGGGGCTGCTACTTACGCGTGTGCAAGCAACCTGAATTGCGCAACATCGATACGAAGGTGCAGGAGAAGCTCGCAGAAACCAGAGTCAGTGCGATAGCGAGTGCATAATCCAAAGAAGGCGGCCGCACCCTGACGGCATGGCGCCCAGAGTTCAGCTCCCGAGTCAGAGCAGCCTTGACCTCCAAACGTTTCCGCATGGCAGGTGCCGGGCAGGTGCTAGGCAGGTGCTAGGCTGCTGGTAGGAGCTC